AACAACAACAACAACAAGAAACTTATGGGCTGTATATGCAATAAAATGTTATCCAAATGAATAACATTTTATTGCATATACAAATTTTTGCATATATAAATTTTTGTTAAGTGCCCTCTAAATGGTTCTGACTCATAGCAACCACGTTAGGGTTTCCAAGGAGTGGCTGGTGAGCTTGTACTGCCAACCTTGTGGTTCAAACCGACTTTGCAGTCCAGTGCATTAATACACAGCGCCACACATATATCCACCACTAATCTGTCAGTTTGTCACACTGTGGTGGCTTATGTGTTGCTGTGATTCTGAAAGCTATGCTACTGGTATTTTACATACCAGCAGGGTCACCCATGGATAACAGGTTTCAGATGAATTTCCAGATGAAGACAGACCAGGACACAGGAGAGACAGACTACTTCCAAATATCTAGTCACTGAAAACCTTATGAATAGCAGTGGAACACGGTCAGATAGCACCAGAATATTAACTATCAAAACACGATGAAGGTCACCAGAATATTGTCAGATATAGTGCCAGAAGTCGAGCCCCTCAGGTTGGAAGACACTCAAAATATGACTGGGAAAGAGCTGCCTCCTCAAAGTCGAGTTGACTGTGAAGACGCCAATGGAGTAAAGCTTTCGGGACCTTCATTTGCTGATGGGGCACAACTCAAAATGAAGAAAAAGAGCTGTAAAAGTCCATTAATAATCAGAACATGGAATGTATGAAGGATGAATCTAGGAAAATTGGAAGACGCTAATAATTTATTGTTAAGTACTGTCAAGTCGATTCTGACTCACAGTAACCTGAATAGGGCTTCCGAGAAGAAGCTGTTGAGTCTGAACCACTGACCTTGTAATTCAAACTGACCTTGCGGTCCAGTGCTTATTCAACAGAGCCACACCAGGACTCCATGCTAATAATAGTAAGAAAAAAGAACCAATAGATCTGTTTTGGAAGAAGTGCAGCCAGAGTGCTCCTTGGAGGCCAAGATGGCTAAACTTCGTCTCTCATACTTTTGACATATTGTCAGGAGGGTACAGTCACTGGAGAAGGATGTCATGCTGGGTAAGATGGAGGGTCAGAGAAAAAGAGGAAGACCCCCAACGAGATGGATTGGCTAGGTGGCATCATTCATTGATGGCGTCAAGTGTGGCAGCAGTAGTGAGGTTGGCCCAGGATCGTACATTGTGTTTGTTCTGCTGTGCATGGGGTCGCTATGAGTCGGTTCCAACTCGATGGTACCTGACAACACCAGCACCAGGACTCCAAGCTAATAATAGTAAGAATAATTATCATAGTAAACCTAGACAGACATGAATTAGGAAAGGTTGGTGCCACCCAGTAAGAAGACCAGGTAAGAAGGCCAACCAGTCCTCCAAGTTCTGAGATAGGAAGTTAAGAACGGTATCTAGAAATGACATCTTTGGTTTCTAAAGAATTCACGAAAACTCTTACTACAAATGCATATGGACTTTAGGAAAATGTCTTTCAAAGAGCATTTCCGAGGATCAGTCAGTCACTGATTAGCCATTAAAGGGCCCTGGCCTTTTCTCACCTATCCGGTTCCCTTTCACTGACCTGGACTATGTCTCCGTAACACTTCTTCCTCTAACACCCACGGTTCTTCCTCCTGCTCCAACTTGAAAATCACATCAGGTTTGGTGAACGGACATCCTGTTGAAGGGAAGTGACATAAGATCTGGGCATAAATACTGGAAACAAGGAATTGAGGCTGGTCCAAGAAAAATTAGACTTTATGAAGGACCAGAAAAGTACAGCTTCTGGGGATGCTACACTTTCCTAAAACATAACCAAAGACACCCCTTCTCTTTGAAAGTTGTAGCACATCTATTCATATGAGCACACATCCCAGTGCCCAACTCCTAACATTAAAATGTCCCATATAGCTCAGAAATATTGGCAAAGAAAGAGTATTTATTTCTGGAATTTGAGGAATGCCAGAAACCACTCTTACCCACTGTGATTAAGTTGTTGTAGTTTTCTAGCATCACACTCCGGTACAGGCGCCTCTGGTCACAATCCAGGTGCTGCCATTCTGCCTGGGTGAAGTCAATAGCCACGTCCTTGAACGTCACTGTTCCCTGTAACAACACCCTCACTCAACAGGAAGGCACTCAGATGGCATCACCAAAACAGACTTTGTTCTGAGAGTACTAAGAGATAAGACGTTACATAGCATTTCTTACCTTGGTTTGTTACTTTGTAAGAGACAGAAACACCAGAGTAGGAATATCCTGTCAGGTGGATTTCATTCACTGATTAAACATGTCCTTAATATTACCATAGGTTACAGAGGAGAACTTGGGCACTAGTTTACACTGAATACAAAATAAAGAGTAAAACCAAACTTTAGTCAAGTTACCTGGTTTGGGACCTCACTAGATGCTCGTTGATCCACTGGGGTTGGAAAAAATGAAAGGATGAAAAGTCAAGTCATTTGAAATAAAGAGGCTCCAGAAGTCAAAGAGGATTGTTGGACTTTCTCCCCTTATAGGGGAGGGAATCCAAACTGCATTTGTACAAAGCACATGGTACAGAAGCAGGACTGCAGATAAAACATGAGTGAAAAAGTGTAACAGTTTCACTAATCAAAAGGAAAGTATGCGCACATAAGATGCATTCTCACTAATACTACCTCAACCCAAGATTTCTCCTCATAAAACGGTTTTTCCTCAGATCGCAAAAATAGTAAAATCATGCCAACAGATTTTACCAGAAAATCCTAATTGCGCCCAGCTGAGCGTTTCTACCCACCCACTCTCACTACTATTATTCATCATTCTGAAGAAGAATAAAGTAGGGAAACTCACCCTTCTTGATTCCAGAGCATATTATAAAGCCACTAATTAAAACAATCTGGAGTCCTGGTGTGGCACAGAGTTAGTGCTCTGGACTGCAAGGTCGGCGGTTCAGATTTGTCAGCCACTCCTCGCTATGAGTCAGAACCGACTCAAAGGCACTTAACAACAACACAATGAAAACAGTTTTGTACTGGTCTAAGGAGCGCTAGTGACACTGTGTTTGTGTATACATGGAGTTTATTTGGCTTCTTGTGTGTATATATATATTTACTCCATGTAGTATAAATTCAACAAGAGAAAAGCCGTCACTATCTACAAGGAGCCACAATAGAATTGCGTAATAGCTGACTTACTGGAAACAACAAGGGCCAGATAGCAGTGAGACAACAGATTCAGAGCCGAAAGAAAAAGCTATCAAGCAAGCATCCTCTATCTAGCAAACCTGTAATTAAAAATGAAGGTGGTTATGCTAAGTGAAAGAAACCAAAATAAATGGTCACAAAATATTCCATTTATGTGAAATATCCAGCCTACGTAAATCCACAGACATGACCCAGCTTGCTGGTTTCCAGGGGTTAAGGGAGGAGAGGAACTGGAGGACCTGCTTAGTGGGCTGCTGTGGTTAGGTGTCATCAAGCTGGTTCAGATTCACAGCAATCCTGTGCACACAGAACAAAACACCGCCTGGTCCGGTGCCAGCCTCACAAAGGTTGTTACACCTGAGCCCATTGCTGCTGTCACTGTGCCAGTCCAGCTTGTTAGGGTCTTTCTCTGTTTTTCTGACCCTCTACTTTATGAAACATAATGTCCTTCTGCAGGGACTGGTCCCTTCTGATCACATGTCTGAAGTAGGAGAGAAGCCTCTCCATCTGGCTTCTAAGGAGCACTCTGGCTGTACTCCTTCCAACACAGATTCATTTGTTCTTTGGGCAGTCCGTGGTACTTTCAACATTCTTCTCCAACACCATAACTCAAATGCATCAATTCTTCTATGGTCTTCCTTACTCATTCATCCACTGTAGGGCACTTAGGCTGTTTCCACAGTTTTTCTATTATAAACAATGCTGCGATGAACACAGGAGTGCATATGTTTATGTTACTACCTAACAGTGGGAGAGATGGAGCAAAACGATTTCCAGTTTTCGGAGGAAGCACCATAATGCTTTCTATATTGGTCGTACATTTTACAGTCCTACCAGCGATGGATAGGGGTTCCAATAGCTGTCTACTCACCAATATTTGTTATTTTTCCATCTTCTTTTTTTTAATCAGTGTTATTTTAACCAGGATGAGATGGTATCTCTTTGTAGTTTTGATTTACATCTTTCTCTAATGGTTAGTGGGAATTCTGGTATGGCACTGGACTAGTCCAGGATAAGCACTGGAACCACAAGGTCAGTGGTTCAAACCCACCAGCTCTTCAGAAACTCTATACAGGGTGACTAAGACCAAGATGCTGAGCCAGAAAACATTTCCAAAGAAGAAAAGGTAATGGAACTAACTAAAAAAGAATGTTAATTAGGTATCCTTAAAGGATAGATAGAAAGATGGAGGAAAGAAAGTAGAACACAATAAAAACTTTATAAGAATTCAGGAAAACAAGAACCAACTAAACCAAGCCTACAAGACTGAAAATAGGGAGCCAGAGATAGCAATGTATATAATGAAGTCAACTACAAAGCAAAAAGAGGAAATAGTGCATAAACAGAACTTCCAAATGGCAAGGAAGTCAAGTAGATTTCAAGATAAAATATGTTGTTTTAAGCAGGGAACAAATGAATAGATTATAGGATAACGTCAAAGAAAAATAATACACCTGCACATGAAAGTAAGAAAAGAGGAAAATCAGAAAGATTTAGTAAACATTCACACTACAGAAATGATAATGACAAGAAAACCCACAAACCAATGGAATGCAACATAGAAAATTATGTGAAGCAAAGAATTCAGCAGCACCATACACACACACACACAAAAACAATTCACACCTATTGACAATCACACTGAATGTAAATGGATTAAATGTACCAGTCAAGAAACAAAGAGCAGAATGGATAAGAAAACAGGATCTTTCAATACGCTGTCTACAAGAGACATATAAAAAGATGGAGACAAGTTTAAATGCCCATCAACAGAAGAATGGTTGAACAAACTTTAGTTTGTAAACACAATGGAATACTACAAAATGTTGAAGAATAATAATGAATCTGTGAAACACCTCGCAACATGGTTGAACCTGTCAAGTATTGCCATTTTATTTATGGTGACTGTTTCAACAAGAATTTGACTTTTATCTACTAAAATTCAGTTGTGCTCTTTTATTGTCTGTGGATTCAATATTTGCTAAAAAGGCAAGTTCATAAATGTAAAAAAATATATCCAAGAAAAATTTTCTTGAAGTAATTGGAAACTCTTACACACTGTTAGAAGATTGTTTTGTTCAACCACTTTGAAACACTATTTGGCAATGTTTCAATAAAAACTGAATGTGCACACAACTAGCCATTCCACTTTTGTTATATATCCAAAGAAACAGAAACAAAATTGGGAACTGCTCCTAAATCAAAACTACAGAAATGCTCATGAAGAGTGGAATGTGAGTAACAGAACATGGAACATTTCAACATGAATGAATTTGACAAGCATAGCATTAAGCACAAGAACCAGACAGTTACAGAGATATGTAAAGTTTAAAAGTAGACAGAAGTAATCTCTGGTGATCAAAACTGAACACTGGTAACCCCTAGGATGGAGTTCTGGTGTGCCACTGTGGCTTAATGCACCAGACTGCAAAAGCCGTTTGAACTACAAGGTCGGTGGTTCAAACTCAACAGCTGCTCCACGGAAACCCTATACAGGGTTGCTATGGGTTGGAATTGACTTGATGGCACTTAAAAACAACAACCCCTAGGATAGTAGTAGTGACTTGAGCAGATTTTCTGGGGTGTTATGGTGAGGTTCTACTTCTTGATCTAGTGCTTGCGCTGGCTACACAGGTGTGTTTACTTGGAAAATTAACTGAGTTTGTATGAGGATGAAACTAGAGATGCAGAGAAGCTGGTAGATAAAGAATCATGGTCAAACAAAGCACAGCACAGCTTTGAACTCAGGGTGAATAAGCAGTAAAGTGACATATGTTCAATATGTAAGAGTCAGATCAACCTGAAAGAGAAAGATCCCAAAGGGAAGTATGAAAAGGTTTACGTGCTGAAGAAAAGGAGTGTGGTTCAGTAGAAGTGGGCAGGGCAGTGGGCCCAGAGCTGATTTGACAAAATCTAGTCTGCTGGAGAATGGGCAGTGAGGTGCAGAGAGATGGAAGGATTTTGGATTTGACTGACAATGTTTGGTGAGAAGACAAGCTGGTCTATGAGGATGTTGCAATGAGCTTCCTGAAGCTGACAAGACAATGGCGGCACCGCAGTCTGTTACAGAAGAAGAAATGAAGCGGACAGACTTAGCCTTCCAGTAACTACAGGAGGACGTTCCCACTATGGGAAACTGAAACCCAGCTCCTTTCACATGGATTTTTTCTTAAATACATTTTTTAAAAAACGTTTTCTAACTCAAATCTTTTAGTGATAAATCAACACTCAAAAACGTATACCTGCTTAATTTTCGGCAGCAAAAAGTACAGTGTGAAAATTATCACCAAAATGAGAAATTGATTGAGATTTCTCAAAAATGTGGAATATTTGGCTCTTTCAGGAGATAATTCCTTATTCACCAGGTCTGTTTGAATATGATTGTTAAACATTTGCCCCTCATTCTTATTTGGACTCCCTGTCAGAGTTTAACACTTCCAGATTGCTTATGTGTATGCTATGATACAAAGTGACTGAAGGTAAGCGTGAGAAAGACAAAGAGCAAGGAAGCCAGGCATGACAATGATAAACTTCTCATGTAACCCCACTTTGAGAAGCATGTTGAGTGGATGGGGTGGCTGTGTAAGTAGCCTATGGATTTCATGGACATAAAGATATCCCATTCACTGATTACTGTGACCCCTAAGATTTCCTATGTTTTTTCACACTATTGATAAATTTACCAATTAAAAACTTACCTGCTTAAAAAAATAGTTCTAGCCCATACTTGCAGATAGTACCCATTTGACCTAGCTTCAATGGCGGGATGATCAGAATTCAACTAGAGGAAGAAAGAAGAAGGAAAAAAGTGTAATCTGCTACAATTTAATGAACTTGGGCTACACTTGTGAATGTAGTAGCTTAAAAGAGGGAACAAATCTTTATAGCAAGGATCATTCCCAACCCCTCTGTACACAAGGTTGACAGGGATGGGCCACTTAGACATTGGCTACCCAAAATGGGGGACTACAAAGGCAAGAAGTGACTGACTTACACATTTTCAAGAGGGAGCCTAATTTCAGAGGGTGCGAGGGAAGGTAGAATCTCCACTGAGTGGTTTCCAACCTGTTTGGAGGGGCTGGTGAAAGGAGACGATAAGATTCTTGTGGTTCAATAGTAAATAATTGCGATCAGAACTGACTGAGAGTGTTGCAAATGTAAACATTTTCTAACAAAAGGAGGGGAGTAGTTGATCTTGCAGTCCAGGAGAGGAGGACCCTGGGACCATCAAGTGAGAAGAGCAGAGTACAGGACCCTATTCAGAGAAACCTCTACGCCAGAGATGGAGGCTGGGGACTGGACTCAGGGAGGGAGAGGGGCTGTGTGCTGGTGGCCAGGGGGCAGGTTTGGTTGTTTGAATGGTATTTCTGAGTATTTCGGTGTACATCCAAAAGAAAAAAAAACAATAAAAACAGAAGGAATGGAAGCAAATGCTGTTGAATTATGATGCATGGAGGGGATTGTAATTATTGCAATGAAATGAAATATGGTAGGATGAATGTAAAGTTGATGTTCTCCCATGTAAACTATCACTCAATTCACAATAAAAACTTATTTTAAAAAAAGTTCTAAGGAAAAGGAATATAGAAGTCAGACTATTACTTATTCTAGAACTAAAACAAAGAAATTGGGACCTATGGATTCAGTTAATTAAAACCACAAGTATTCACAAAATATGTATTCCAGGCATTGTTCAAGGGACTGCAGATACAGTAGCAAGCAGAATAAATAAGATCATTTGAAAGATACACATCCATCTAATTCTTCAGATACTGTAGTTTCCATTTTAAAAATTAGAGGTGTGAATATTTAGTGTATAACCTGAAAGATTTTTATTCATTTAGATACCTGATAACTGCAAGGTCAGGGGTTCACACCCACCAGCTGTTCTGTGGGAGAAAGATGAGTTGTCTTCGCCCATAAACATTTACAATCCCTTAGTAGGGTCACTATGAGTCAGAACTGAGTCAATGGTAGTGGGTTTGGTTTGGTTTGGTCACCACTTGTTGTTGTTAAGTGCTGTTAAGTCAATTCCAACTCACAGTGACCCTGCATAGGGTTTCTGCGGCTGTAAATTTCTGTGGGAGCAGAAAGTCTCATCTTTCTCCCATGGAGCAGCCAGTGTGGTTTGAAGTCCGGTGCTCATCCTACAGAGCCACTGCACTCCCCTGGTAAACACTACTCAGGTCAAAATATAGAACATTTTCAACATTTTAGAAGATTCCATCATGCCTCTCCCTAGTAAACATCCCCTCTACTCCTCTGATTTTTTTTATTATAGATTAATTTTTCCAGTTTTTGAATTTCATATAAATGAATTCATACAGTATGTTCTATTTTGTCTCTGGGTTCTTTCACTTCATGTTTGTAAGACCTATCTGTAATGTTGCTGTGTAGTATTCCACTGTGTGAAATACTGTAGTTTCTCTCTTTTCTGCTGATGCTTATTTGCATTATTCTAATATGAAGCTATTAGACATTTTATCTTTGTTATGGGTTGAATTGTGCCCCCATCCCCAAAGAGATGAAATCCTAATCAGTGTGAATTTGACCTTATTTGGGAAGAGGGTCTTTGAAAATGTAATCAAGATTATGGTGGACCAATGTCAGGGATTGAATTATGAACCCCCAAAATATGTGTCAATTTGGCTAAGAATGGATGTAACACCCTTCCCCAGGTCAGAGCTCGAATCTCACATAAGGGGAGTTTCCCTGAGGTGTGGCCTGCATCGCCTTTTATTTTACAAGAGATAGAAGGAAGGAGAAGTGAGCAGAGAGTGAGGGACCTTGGTACCAGCAAGAAAGAAGAGCCAGGAGCAGAACAAATCATCCGGATCGGGGGTGCCTGTGCTGAGAACCTACTAGACTCAGGGGAAGACTGATGGCAAGCCACACGGAGGATGCTTGGCTCAGAGATGGTGAAAAGAGACAAGGACTTTCTCCAGAGTTGACAGAGGGAGTAAGCCTGCCCCTAAAAGTGGTATCCAGAATTTCAACTTCTAGTCTCCTAAACTGTGAGGGAATAAACATCTATCTGTTAAAGTCATCTACTTGCAGTATTTCTGTTGTAGCAGTGCTAGATGATTGCTGTTGTCATTGTTACATGCTAGTGAGTTGCTTCTGACTCCTAGAGACCCTGTATAGAGTTTTCAAGGCTATCGATCTTTGTGGGAGCAGAAAGGCTCATCTTTCTCCCAAGAAGAGGCTGGTGGGCTTGAACCGCTTCCTCCAGTATCACTAGCATCCTTATAAGAGGAGAAGAGACATAGCTATGGAAGAATACCATGTGATGACTGGAATGGTATATCTACAAATTCAAGACCAACAAAAATTGTTGGCAACACCAGAACTAAAAGGAAAGGTATGAATAGATTCTCCTCTAGAGCTTTCAGAGAAAACAGGGCTCTCATGACACTTGATTTTGGACTTCTAGCCTCCAAAACTATGAGAGAATACATTTCTGTTGTTTTCAGCCAACTTGTTTGTGATCATTTGCGATAGCAATCATTGGAAGCTAATAAAACCCTTGCTCAAAATAGACAATGAAAAGAACTGAGTTTATCAACTACAGGAAGTCACACACAAATCTTTCCATTGCTCTAGTTATCAGGGCCACCAATTGTCTGTCAGTTTGCTAAACTGTGGTAGCTTGCTGTGATGCTGGAAGCTATACCAGTATGTTTGCAAATATTAGCAAATTCAAAAACAAACAAATCTGTCTTAGAAGAAGCCCAGCTAGTAAGACTCCATCTCACTTATTCTAGACATGTCATCAAGAGGAAAGAATTCCTGGAGAAGAGCATCACGCTTGGTAAAACAGAAGGTCCACAAAAAAGAGAAAGAGATGGACCGGCACAGTGGGCTACAGAATGGATGCACACATACCTACTGTGAGGACTGCACAGAGCCAAGCACCATTTCATTTACTAGGAGTCAGAACTGACTCAATAGCACATAACAACAATGGGTGCCAATGAAAGGCTTATATCTGCTAAGAAATGTTTATTTTGTTTTTGTTAAGTGTCGTCAAGTTGGTCCCGGCTTAGAGCAACCCTGTGGTTGGGCTGCTAACCTCAAGGTCAGCAGTTCAAAACTACCAGCTGCTCCACAGGAGAAAGATGAGACTTTCTGCTCTCATACAGATTTACAGCCTCAGACACCCTATTCAGGGTCACCATGAATCGGAACCAACTCCACGGCACACCACCACCACTACCACTGGGGGATTTGCGAAGCCCTAGTAGGGTAGTGGGTTATGCATTGGGCTGCTAGGTCAGCAGTTTGAACCCACCAGCCGCTCTGTAGGAGAAAGATGAGGCTTTCTGTGCCCATAAAGATGTACAGCCTGGGAACCTTTATACAGGGTCTCTATGAGTCAGAACTGACTTGGTGGCACACAGCAGCAGCAACAACTTTGCAGTTACTAGTCCAGTGCTTATCCTAGGGCTGCTTTTATGCTTATTGTTGTTGTTAAGTGTCATCAAGTAGGTTCTGACTCACAGCAACCCTGTATAGGGTTTCTGAGGAGCAGCTAGTAGGTTTGAACTGCCGACCTTGTGGTTCGCAGTCTAGTGCTGGTCCTATAACACCACACCAGGAGTCCACAGCACTAGACATTGCAAATTCCATAATGCAATGAACTTCTGATATGGTCTGTTTTAACTATGAGATTCAAATTTGAAGCTCAGTTTTTATTTCTGAGTGAATAAATTTCTGCATAACCATATTTTAACTCTTCTCTGAAACGCTTTCCTAGAAACTGCATTTCCTCTGAAAATATGTTTTATCTTTATAGGCATTTCCATTTACTATGTAAATTACTGCAATCCCCTCAACCTGAATGATAGAATAAGGCAGGAATCAAATACACTACTTAAAATTTACCTGTGACTTCATCATTTCCTCTTCTTTCTGGGAAGGGGCAGGACTAGAGAAGACAGATCTAAGAAAGAGAATAAAAATCATTAGACTTGTGGCTTCAGGAACCTTTGTCTACAAAGTAGATTAAAGGTCAGTCTACAGTGAATGGCACTTGGATCCAACAGAATGGCCAAGAACATTAACAACATAGACATACTAATAGGTATAACAGTGACTTGTACAGCGATGTGTCGCTTTGATGTGAGGTAGCTAGAAAGAAGGGCACATGTTTGAGTGTCAGGTCACTTCGTAGCTCTGTATCAGAAATATAGAGTTCATAGTGGAGCAAGAAAATTTATAGCTTCAAGAAAGGATCTACTCAATTAGGAAACTAGTAAGAACATGTAACATTTTTTACAAATAAACAGCAATTAAATAAGAATTAAAAAATTTTTTAATGGTAATGTCAAATTTTGAGGAAGGAATGAGAAGTCTGTGTATGTGTGTGGTGTGTATCAAAAACAAGTATTGGTGGCAGTAAGACTTCATTTCTTGTTTTCCACAGGAAAAAATTTAATCTAAAACTAATGTGAATTTAAAAATGGAAATATGTATAAAAGGTCACAGTTAAGAATTAGAAATGGGAATAGAGAGAAACAGAACAGGATACAGTTTTGGGGGGGGGGAAATTGGGAGTCTAGGTAGCTGGGGATGGGTTGGAGTACGGAGTTAGGGTTAGGACTATGGCTAGGTCTAGGCAAGGCCTAGGACTTCATTTAGTGTTAGGGGTATGGTTAGGACTAAGGTTAATGTAGAGGTAGAAGTTGGGCTAGGGTTAGGAATAAGGCTTGCTCTACTTTTAGGGTTACAGTATGGTTTGTTTTTTTTCTTGAAATCTACTTGATTTTCCCTTTACTTTTAAGTTCTGTAACACATTATTCCTCTTTTTTTTTTTTAATGTTTTCTTGTTGTTGTTGTTGCAAACTGGTAGTTCTGGTTCCCTGTTTTCAACATCTGGGTTGAGTCTAGGTGATGTTGTCATGTATGTTAATCTCAGGTTGTTGTCTGCTGTTGTTGGTTCTCTGTCCAAAACACTCCCTTTAGCATATTTGAAAGATTGGTCTAGATTTTGCAAATCCTTTTAAATTTGTTTATCTGGAAATGTCCTAATTTTGCCATCATATTTAATGGAAAGTTTTGCTGGGTATACGATTCTTGGTTGGCAATTTTTCACCCCCACAGAGTTTAATATATGTCATGTCATCCCACTGTCTTCTTGTCAGCATGGTTTCTCTAAGATGAGTATTGAGAGATTTGTCTTCACACTCACTGATTCGGCCTTCCATTGAGTCAATTTAACTTGCCTTTTCAATGTATTATCTAATTCTGAGGAGTCCTGGTGTGGCGCTGTGGGTTAATGCGCCAGACTGCAAAGCCATTTGAACTGCAAGGTCGGTGGTTCAAACTCACCAGCTGCCCCTTGGAAACCCTATGCAGGGTTGCTATGGGTCGGAACCGACTCGATGGCACTTCACAACAAAAACAACAACATCTATTTCTGAAGATTTAATATTAACCTTCTGACTTTCTAATAGCAGTTTTTGCATGGTTTCAAATTTTTCATTTATCAGTTTGTTCTTATATTATTTTCCTGAATGCTTCCTTTCTTTTGTAGACCTTTGTCTCAATTTGTTGACAGTACCCAAATGACATCCTTTTAAATTTCTTATTAAGTAGCTCTGGTTCCATTTCTGATATATCTTCTGACTCCCTATTTTTGTCACTTGTTTGAGGCACTCAATCTTGTTTCTTTATGTAAGCTGAAATGATATGTTTTCTCTGAAACACTGTGGTGTCATTGTATTTAGACTTGATTGTATGTTGGTGTATTCTCAGGCACTAACTATCTCCTGGTGGATGTGACAAGGACTGGAAGTCTGAACATAATTTTCAGTTCACTGATTAGCATAATTCAGGTGCCTCCAGAAAGACCCCAGGCAGAGACTGTGCATCAGGGAATTCCACTGACCACTGCATTGGTGATGGTGGTACTGGATACTAGAAGGGCAAGAGACAAGAGAGGACTGCGTGCCCCTTGCCTCCCCCACTTGTAGCCCGGCCCTATGCCGGTAGATGGTTGCATAGAAACTGACTGCAAAAGCTCAAGGCAAGCTTGCCACTCCACACCAGCCATAGCCTGCAGTCTCCTTCTCTTGCTGCTCCTGTTCTGCTTCGTCTTGCAGTCAGCACTCAGCCCACCTCTCTGTCCTATCTGAAGCTCAGGGCTCCAGGACCACCATCTGTATCTATTTCACTTGTTCGCCCATGACTTTGTTGCAGAGGGTTTGCCTAGTGAGTCTGCCTACTCTGCCCACTCTGCCTGACTTCCAGGGTACAGTTTTTATTATTGCTATACTCCTAGTATCTGATTTCTTTCAAACAAAATGTATATATTGTCAAGAATACAAAGTCGATTAAGAAAACACATACCATTGCAATGGCATCAGACACTACTACAGCGTATAAGGGATCCTACGGTGTTCACAGATGTCCTCCCCTAGCCACAGCCCATTTCCCAAATTTAATTTGTTTAAGGAAAATTCATCTGTTAGTTTATTGCCCTGCCGGCCTTCTTTTCAGTTGTTTTTGGTTTGCTTTCATTCATTCTTGTCACTCATTTGAAGTTTTTTTCCTAAAAGATCTTTAAAAATAAAAGGGCAGCGTACACATCACATAGCAACTAAATTTCTTAAGACTAAGTTCAAAACAACAGTGTGGAATCATAGACAGTGGGTGAGTGCAGCACGTGGAACGCGTGTTCATCTCCATCATTCTGACAATACTACAGGGTCATGTATCGGCTCCTGAAAGGGTTCACTACCCTACTCTGAGCCTTCTATACCCAATTTCATCTCTAATTTTCCCAGTTTAGTTAGAGTTCCAGCTACTCCAATTTTTAAAAATTCAGGTCTATTATAGTTTCACTATATTGAGCATGAATGGCTGAAACTGGTTTCAAGATCTGATTTTCAGCTACTCTTAGATTCAACCAAATAGTAACGATAATTCTAAGCAAAGCACAAAGTTTAGTGGCACATGGTTCAGGATTCAAAATACAGAATACCCCACGGGAAGAAGTAAGAAAGTAGGGTGATATTTTTGAGGGGAGATCATTGAGTTTGCTCAGATTTGGTTGATTCCTTATCACATTTTACTGCAATATCTTTTTATTTCCTTCTCTTCATCCATTTCCTGTTCTCCACCTCACTTGGAGTCCTGGTGTGGCGCTGTGGGATAATGCGCTGGACGGCAAGGTTGATTTGAACTATAAAGTCGGTAGTGCAAGCTTACCACCAGAAACCCTATACAGACAGGGGGTCACTAGGAATTGGCACCTACTGATGGCACTTAACATACAAACATATACCTCACCTTACTTCTGAGTTAGCTCACTTTTCTTTTAAAAACGGGGCCACACCCTCCCATGTAAAACACATTTCGTCTGTTTGTCGTACTGTGATGGCTTGGGTTTTGCTGTGATGCTGGAGCTATGCCACCAATAATCTAAATGCCAGCAGGGTACACCCATGGTGGACAGGTTTTAGCTGAGCTCCCAGACTAAGACAGACTAGTAAGAAGAAGAGGTGGACTATGTCTCAATATTTAGTCACTGAAAACCTTATCAATAGCAGCGGAACACTGTCTCAGATAGCACCAGAATATTTAA